CTCCCTGGGCCTCGCCAGACTTCAAAACGCGCTGAATTGCATGCCGTGCTGCAAATGCTTTCTGCGGGCGTGGCCCTGCTTCACGTCTACACAGACTATCTGCCGCTGCTGGGTGGGCTAGCGCGTGGGCGGCGCTGGTGCACCAGCCCACGGCGTGATAACGTCGATCTTCGGAAGAGGCTGTATCACTACATCGACGAGCACGGTGGGATGGAGCCAGGGCCTGATGGTGTGCCGCCCCTGCGTTTCACGCATGCGAAGGGCCACCAGCGTGAGGACTCCCCCGGGAGAAGCGCTGCAACGACCTGGCGGATCAGGCTGCCAAGCGTGGGCGGCGCCTACGCGACCTGCCTCGGGCCACGGCCCCCTGGATCGGCAACGTTTCCAAGCTGCCCTTCGCGGACGTGGTGGAGGTGGACCGCGTGGAGGTCCCGCGGCGGCGTGCCGCTGGCCTGCGGCGCCGCTGGGCAGCCGAGCGGCCTGCTGCTCCGACTGCCCCCGGGCACCCCGCTGCCGCTGCGGCCGAGGGCGCCCGACGTCCCTCGTGCGGTGCGGAGGCGTGGCAGTATGATGGTGTTGTGATCGCTGCTCGGCTTACGCCGTCTCCGCCCGAGGTGCGAGGGCCCTCAGGCTCCGCGCGTGTCACGTAGCCGAGGCGGCGGCCCTCTGGGGTCAGGGTTTGTTTCGCCTGAGACGTCCTCTTCGGCGCGTGCGGGTGGCGTTGGCTCTGGGGTTGGCCTGGTGGGTCTTTCGCCGGAGACGTCCTCTGGCCCGCCTGCTGGTAGGGCGGGCTCTCAGGCCACTGGGCCTTCCCCTGGCGTCGAGGGCCCCTCCGTGGCCAGCGCTTCCTCGGGGCCCACTGGGGCCTTGGAGGGAGCTGAGGTGCCGCCGCCCTCGGACCTCGTGGGCCTTGAGCGGTCTCGGGCTTCGGAAGAGGGTGAGGTTCCGAACGGAAGAGGAGCAGAGGGACCTGGACCTTTTCCAGGCTTGCCGGCTGGCCAAGTCGGCCCGCACGCAGAGCGCCGATGTGCCCGAGCCCCCCCCTCGACGCCCCCTCCCACGCCAGGCAGGAGGAGGAGGGTCGGAGAACGGGGGACTGTGGAGTACCTCGCCTTTCGAAGAGTGTTTTCGTACAGTTTGTTGGTTGGGTTTTCCAACATTGTTACCCTTCTTCCTTCTTCCTTCTTCCTCCTCCTCCTCCTCCTCTTTCTCCCTCTTCTCCTACTCCTCCTCTTCATCCTTCTCTCTCCTCCTCTTCCTCCTTCCCCCAGAATCGAGCTTTTTTCTTTTTCCTACACCCCCCCCAAAAAAAAAACAAAAAAATAGAAACGCGGCGCGGCCTCCCGTTTTTGTGTTTTCTTTTTTGAGGGGCAGGGGAAGAACTCAACTCGATTCTGGGTGAAGGAGGAGGAGCGGGAGGAGGAGGAGGAGGAGGAAGCAGAGGAGGAGGAGAGGGAGGCCCCAGAAGTTGTGTTCCTTCGCCTGCCCCCTCCCCCCCAACAAAAAAACAAAAATAAACGGAGCGGCCTCCCGTTTTGTTAGTTAGTTGTGTGTGTGTGTGCGTGTGCGTGTGCGTGTGTGTGTGTGTGTGTATGTGTGTGTGTGTGGGGGATGTTGTGTGTTGTGTGGTGTGTGATGTGTGATGTGTGGTGTGTGCTGTGTATTGTGCGTTGTGTGATGTGTGTTGTGTGCTGTGTCTTGTGTCTTGCGTGTTGGGTGTTGGGTGATGTGTGTTGTGTGTTGTGTGCTGTGTGTTGTGTCTTGTGTGATGTGTGTTGTGTGTTGTGTGTTGTGTGATGTGGGTTGTGTGTTTTGTGTTGTGTGTTGTGGGTTGTGAGTTGTGAGTTGTGAGTTGTGTGTTGTGTGTTGTGTTGGTGTGTGTGGGGGGGCGAAAAAAGAATCCGACGTGGCCTCATCGGCCCTCACCTCTGGAAGGATTCCGATTGAACGCCCCCCACAAGAAGGGTTCATAGTGAAATCCTCCACGGGAGGATTCCAATCGAAACCCTCCGCATAAGGATTGCTAGTGAAATCCTCCACATATTTGTTGTATTGGAATCACCTGCAGAAGGATTGCTATTGCGATGCTTCGAAAGAACGAATCCCCCCGTTGGCATTACATTGGCATTGGCTTGGTACTTCGCAAGCATTGCGTTGGCGAATCCTGCTGGAACCCTCCACAGAAGGACTCACATTGAAACCCCCTACAGTAAGGGCTCCTATTGAAACCCTCCACACAACGGGTTCATATTGAAATCCTCCACATAAGGATTCCATGCGAAGCCCTCCACAGAAGGATCTGGTTGAAATCTACCACAACAGGAGTTTCCCAACTGGCATTGCATTGGCAATGGGTTGGGGTCGCCTTGGCATTGCGCTGGCATTGCGTTGGCACTGCTTTGGCATTGCTCTGGTATTGATCTGGCGAGTCCGAATTACTCCCTTTGCCGAAGGATTCTTATTGGAACCCTCCACACAAAAAAGGATTCCTTTTGAAATGTACCACAAAGGGTTGCCCCCAGTGGCATTGCATTGGCATTGGATTGGGATCGCCATGGCATTGGTTTGGCATTGCGTTGGCACTGCGTTGGCATTGCGCTGGCGAGTCCTGTATCGGACGCTCCGCGGGAAAATGCTTACCTAACCACCCGAACACACACACACACACACACACGCGCAAGAAGGATTCAAAGTGAAATCCGCCACACAAGGATTAAATTCGAAGCCCTTCACATAAGGATTCCGATTGGAAAACTCCGAACATGGGTTCGCAATGACATCATCCCAGAAGGATTCTCATTGTAATACACCAAGAGAGGGTGCCCCGATTGGCATTGGTTTAACATTGCATCTGCATTGCGTTGGACGTGCGCTGGCATTGCCCTGGCATTGCGCTGGCGAGTCCTGATGCTCTCCTTCGCTGAAGGATTTCAATTGCAACCCCCAAAAAGTTTTAATTGAAATCCACCACAAAGGATTGCCCCCAACGATATAGCATTGGCATCGGATTGGGGTCACCTTGGCATTGATTTGGCATGTCGTTGACACGGTTTGAGCATTGCGCTGGCATTGCGCTGGCAAGTCCTGGCTCCTCCCTTCGCAGACGGATTCCTATTGCAACCCTCCACAGAAAGGGTTCATACACAAATGTGCCACAAAGGATTGCCCCCAGTGGCATCGGATTTGGGATCGCATTAGCATTGCGTTGGCATTGCGTTGGCACTGCTTTGGCATTGCGCTTGCATTGCGCTGGCGAGTTCCAGTGCCTCCCTTCGCAAAAGGATTCCTATTGCAACCCCTAGGAGGATTCTTATTGAAATCTACAAGAGAGGATTGCCCCCATTGGCGTAGCACTGGCATTGGATTGGGGTCGCCTTGGCATTGGTTTAGCATTGCGTTGGCACTGCTTTAGCATTGCGCTGGCGAGTCCGACTGCCTCCCATCGCACAAATATTCCTGTTTAGACCCTCCGCAAAAAGGATTCCGTTTGAAATCTACCACAAAGGATTGCCCCAAACGACATTGCACTGGCATCGGGTTTGAGATCACATTGGAATTGCGCTGGCATTGCTTTGGCATTGCGCTGGCGAGTTCCAATGCCTCCCTTCGCAGACGGATTCCTATTGCAACCCCCAGAAGGATTCGTATTGAAACCTACCACAAAATAATACCCCCCGTTGGCATAGCATTGGCATTGGATTGGGGTCGCCTTGGCATTGGACTGGCATTGCGTTGGCACTGCTTTAGCATCGCGCTGGCGAGTCCTCATGACTCTCTCCGCAGAAGGACTTCTACTGAAATCCTCCAAAAGAAGGGTTCCTATTGAAACCTCCACAAGAAGAATTCCTATTGAAATCCTCCAGAGGAGGATTCCTGCCGAAATCCTCCACAGAAGCATTCCTATCGAAATCCTCCGAGGAAGAATTCGTCATGACATCATCCACTGAAAGCTTCTTATTGAAATCCACCGAAAGAAAATAATCCCCAATTGGCATTGCATTGGCGTTGGTTGGCAATGTGTTGGAATCGCATCGGCATTTTGTCGCTGAAGAGGCTGGCAGAATAACGGTACAGCTCAAGGAAGGAGTGCATGTCTCCATACACGTAGAGAGGGTGAGAGAGGTAGGATAAGGATAATGATGAAGAGAAGGGTGCAAGCTTGTAAACAACCCTCTGGAACACTGAGGTACTCCACAATCCCCCGGCCTCGATGATCGGGAGGACGCTCGGGCCTCTGGAGGCCTGCGCCGAAGGCGCCGCGGCTTCTGGCCCGCTCCCCTGCCGCTTGCGTCGGGGTGCCTCCTGCCCTCGACCCCCCCGTGGGGCCTCCGCCCCATCAGCGGGCTCGGGCCTCTGGAGGCTCGCGGCGTGGGGAGTCCTGGTCTGCTCGGGATGCGGTCCCTCCTGACCACCCCCCTCCCCGCTCGAGGCCCTGTAGGGCCTGGGAGTGCTTGGGGTCACATTGTCGCGATTGCTGGACCCACCCGTGTATTATGCCGTGTGTGCGGCGCTCGGGCCCAGCCGGCGGCCACTCGCTCCCGCCGTTGGGGCGCCCGCAAGGGTCTTGCATCCAGCAAGGACGCGACGTACTTGAAGGCCCTCGAGGTAGGGAATGACCCCGTTTCAGGGGAGGCAAAGGGTCTCATCGACCGTTCCTCCCTCCGGACGATGCCACTTATTGGCTCCGTCTCCGATAATTCGCCTCGCGATTTTCGCCTCGCGTGTCAACACCTTCTCTTTCTCTCGTCGAATCACGAGTGCTCGCCCTTTTCCGCCCGCCCTGGCTGTTTTTTCCCCGTCTCGGCGCACTCGAGCTCGAGTTGGTGGTGCCTCCGCCTCCTCCTCCTCCTCCTCCTCCTCCTCCTCCTCCTCCTCCTCTTCCTCCGCCGCGGAGTACCTCCAGACCCCCTAGCCTCAAGGACATCCCCAGTCGGCTAGCCCTGCGGAGCATACTTCCGATCCGACTGCCCAACAACATCGAGCCCCACTGAGAGCTCAGCATGTACACAGGGTCCGGATAATTCTTCAGGCGCTTGCTCATCTTCTTCCCATCCTCTGCGAGCACCAGGCCGTTCACGATGAGGTTCTTCCAGGCCGGCTTGTCAAAAAGGATCGTCGACAAGACCATCAGGGTGTAGAACCAGCCACGCGTCTGGGGGCCGGTTGCTTGCCACCCCGCCCGAAGACCCCGCTCGAATCGAATCGTCGTAACCAACTGGGCAACCACTTCGGTGTAACTCGACCCCGACTCGGGCCATTGCGACCAAGCACATCGCAAGACGGTCGTGAGCCAGCACGCAGGACGGCTCACCTGCGACACTGTCCAGCTTTCTGAGTCTATGTGCAACCCGTTTCCCGCCCCGAGTCGGCGCCGTCCGCGGCTACAGCAGCATGAAGGTGCCCAGGGGGGGAGGGGGTGTGGGCTCGGAAGGGGGAAGGAGGGGGAGGAGGAGGAAAATAAAGAGAAGGGAAAACAGGAGGAGGAAGATGAGGAGGAGGTGGAGGAGGAGGAGGGAGGAGGGAAGAACACGAGGAGGAGGAGGAGGAGGATAATGAGGAGGAGGAGGAGGAGGAGGAGGAGGATGGAGGAAGATGAGCGAGAAGGGAGAGGAGAAGGAGGAGAAAAAGGAGGAGGAGGAGGAGGAGACAGAGAGGGAGGAGGAGGAAGATAAGCACGAGGAGGAAAGTGGAAGGGATGAGGAGGAGGAAGGAAGCGGAGGAAAAGAAGAGGTACTAGGAAAGGCAAGACAGGGGGGAGAAGCAACGCGAGGGGGGAGGGCGATACGGCCGAACAGGATCGCGCAAAAACAAACACAAGCACAAGCACACGCACAAGCGCACATACACACAGCCAGAGCTTGGCCAGGGAGGCATCGATCAGGGGCCACGCTTGCGATGGGAGCGTGCCTCCACAAGCTCAACAGTCAGACCCGCTTTAACATGACATGTTTGCAGCGGCACGACCAAGACTGATACGGCAGCGGGCTCTTTATCCAGAACGACCGGATCTCACTGATCTGGGGATACACACAAACATGAGCAAGAACTCTGGGAGGTCCGCGTGGATTCCTTGGGCTGTCCAACGCAGACCCAAGAAGTCCGCGCGGACACATCCGAAAGTGTACGTGTACGGTAGGGTCGTGCGGCGCCGGCGCGCGCCAGGGCTTTTGACACCGCCTCGATCGTTCAACCTTGAACCGATCGCGGCCGCGATCGTTCAAGGTTGATTTCCGTCGGGCCATGTGGCGTAACCTTGCCCCTCGGTGAATCCGCGTCTTCTATCATGCGGAGTATCCTTGAACGCCTTCGCTGGCGTCGCCCGCGGGCCATCGCCGCATGAACCTACCGAATGCAGTACGTTACTCTTCGAAAGATGGCAATTGCGAGGCCAAGTCTGGAAAGCATTACGGTCGGGAACTTTTGGATAGCGTTGCGCCGCGGCCGCCCTGGCGACACGCTAGGCCGTGCAAGCGGATAGGTCGGAAAGGCCAGGAAGTGGATAGCGTGTCGCGCCGAAGTGTGGTTGGCCAGAACCGGCGGAACGACACGCTATCCAAAAGCTCCCGACCGTACCTGTATTCAGCTTGTTGCTCTTCGAAGGATGGCAGCTTCGCCGTCGTCGTCGTCGTCGCCGTCGTCGCCGTCGTCGCCGTCGTCGTCGTCGTCGTCGTCGTCGTCGTCGTCGTCGTCGTCGTCGTCGTCGTCGTCGTCGTCGTCGTCGTCGTCGTCGTCGTCCTCCGCGGAGGCGTGGTGGTGCACACGTCCCCCTCTCCTGCAGTACAGCAGGAAGCGCCACGAGGACAGGGAAGCGCCCGAGCCCCCCGCTCCTCCTCCTCCTGCCCCATCCCCCGTCTCCCCTGCTCCTGCTCCTCGCTCACGAGCGCGATGTTTTCCGCCCTTCCCCCCTCCCTCCCTCCCTCCCCCGCCCTCCCCCTCCGCCTCCCATCCTCCCTCCCTCTCTCCTGCCTCGCCTTTGCTGCCTCCGTCTCCCCCGTCCACGCCGCCCTGCCGTGGCCGACTGCCTGGACCTTCGACGCCCTGAAACAAAGAATGGCGGGGGCCTTTTCGCTGCGGGGTGAGCCTCGGTGGGGAGGTCGTTTTTTCGGTCGCTGGGGCCGCCAGGAAACGTCAGGCGACGAAGCACATGTCCTGGGCATCGCGTCGAGGGCTCTCAGAGGCCAACGTCGTGAGACAACCGCGGCGTCGGAGGCCTGGGTGCTCCACCACGCTTTCCCCCGCTGCCTCTCTCCCCCCTCGCCCTGCGGGGGAGGAAACAAAGGGGGATCGCTTTCACCAAGGGGGAGGCGCCAAGGGACTTGGTAGTCGCCACAGGATCAAGCGCTAGACCGCGCTCGCTCATGATACAAGAGAAGGAGGAGAAGGAGGAGGCGGCGGAGGAGGAGACGCCTGCAGCTTTCGCTCCCGGGACCCGACCAAGCAAACTGAGGATGATGATGATGATGATGATGATGATGATGATGATGATGATGATGATGATGATGATGATGATGATGATCATGATGATGATGATGATGATGATGATGATGATGGTGATGATGATGATGATGATTATGATGATGAGTATGATGTTGGTGATGCTGATGGTGATGATGATGATGATGATGATGAGGAGGAGGAGGAGGAGGAGGAGGAGGGGGGGAGCGGGTGCCAGGTGAATTGGGGCGGGAGACTAGAGGGCCTTACGAAGATCTGGGAAACGCTGCCTCCCCCGTTGCCCTTGGTGTTGGTCTCCACCGTCTGCACTCGCTGCTGCTCTCTTCAACCCTCCTCCTCCTCTTACATTCTTCTTGTGATCCTGCTCATGCTCCTCCTGCTGCTCCTGCTCCTGCTTCTATCCCTCAGCCTCCTCCTCATGCTCCTTCTCATCTGCCTCCTCCCCCCGTCAACCTTGCCTCCGTCTCTTCGCAGTTGCATCCTCTTTCTGCTCCTCCTCCTCCTCCTCCTCCTCATCATCATCATCATCATCATCATCATCATCATCATCATCATCATCATCATCATCGTCGTCGTCGTCGTCATCATCAGCATCAGCATCCTCGTCCGCATCCTCATCATTCTCCTCCTGCTTCTCAAATGTCTCCTCCTCCCTCCTCCTGCCTCCCCAAACATACGCTGTCCCTCATGAACCCCCATCCTATCTCTTACTCATCTTCCTCCCCGTCCTCCTCTGCCTTCTCCTCCCCCCTTCCTCCCGAGCAAAATCCGCTCGAAATCTGTCCCTGGGACACTCATCATGAGCCCCATACGGACCTATGTGAGGGGCGCGTCGAGAATCGATTCCTGACGGGGTCCAAGCCCGACACGGGCCTCTAGGCGCCGAAACTGAAGAATGATCAAATCATCCGCCACCGTGACCCCTGGCACTTTGAGGCGTGGAAGAATGCCAGGGGCTGCCTGGTAGACTTCTGCAATCTAATAAGGGACCGCCCCCCCCCTCTACCACCGGACTGGTGCATGCATCGACCCTCCTTTCCGAAGACACCTTCCTCGTGCCCGCTCAAGGATGGTGCATTGTCAGCATGACAGCGAATGCCTAAACCCCCATTCCACGCGTGCCCGCTGGAGGATGGTGCACTTCCCGCGTGACAGCTGATACCTGAACCTGTGCACCCGCTCGAAGATCGTGTACTTCCCGCGAGGCTGCTCACTCCTGGACTTCTCATCCCACGCGCACCCACTCGGGGATCGTGCGCTTCCCGCAGTCCCACGCCTTCAAGACGGCGCAGTACGCCTCTAAGAGGACCCCGACGTGCCACTAGAGGACCCCACACAGGGTCCGAAGCAGCCACAACGAGTGATTTCCCGTGGTGTTTGAATGATGGTCGAGTTCTCGCCGGTTCGTGCTGCCGTCAGCTCTAGACGGCCAAAGAAGCCTCCACGATGACCCCAAGACAGCCTAAGAGGGCCCCAAAAAGGTCCTATGGCCTAAGATGCATCCTAGACGGCCGCATGTCGGCTCAAGAGGACCTCCCGAGGGGGCCCAAAACGGCCTGTCCAGGCTTTTTGACGGCCTAAGACGGCGCAAAGTCTATGAGGGCGCCAGACACCCAACATACTGCCAAGAGGGCCCCAAGACGACCCCAGAGAGCCGCAAGACGGCGTAAGAGGGCATCACAAAGGGCCCAATAGAGCATCACAACGGCCCATGAGGGCGTCAAACAGGCCAAGCAAACCACTAGACGGCCAAGGGCAGCCACAAGATAATCCCAAGCTGGCCCATGAGGGCTTCCATAGAAACCCAAGATGGCCGTCCAGGGCCCCTCGACGGCCCAATACGGCGCAAATGCAGCTTCACGGCGGCCCCAAGAGACTCCAAGAAGGCAGAGATGACCTCAAGACCGTCCACGAGAGTCCCAATACAACTCCAGGACGGCCTCACGAGTCCAAGACCAGTCCAGCGATAGCCCCAAGGCAGCACATATGAGTTCCACCAGAGCTGCCCAAGGCTGCCAAAGAGAGCCCCAAGATGGCCGAAGACAACCCCGAGACGGCTGAAGAAAGTCCCGAGACCGACCTGAGGGACCTCCAAGACTGCCCCCCTATGGAAGCCAACATAGCCCCAGGGCAGCCCAAACGAGTTCCATGGTGGCTCCTCAAGATGTGAAGACGAAAGGTGTCAGGTGTGGCGGCCTTCCTCTTCCTGCTCCTCCTCATCCTGCTCTCCCTCCTCCGCCGCCTTCGTCATCGTCATCCTCCTGGTCATCTTCATCACCATTCGCCGCAAAGCTCTTCCAGGCCTGCACATCCACCTAGGGCTCCCAACTTCGCGCTCTCGCGCTGCGCGAAGCGCGAGAGCGCGAATAACTTCGCGCTCTCGCGCCGCCCTCCCAAAGGGAGAGTAGGAGGACGAGGAGGAGGGGGGAGAAGGAGCGAGGACCGCGAAGCGCGAAGCGCGAATCACTTCGCGCCCTCGAGGGAGCCCTGCACGTCCAAGGGGTCACGCGTAGCGCCCCCTCCAGTGCTGTTCGAACGGTCTCGCCAGGGTCAAACTGGTGGGCTTCTTGCACGGTGGCGGGACTATAGCCACAGGCAGCTCCTCCTCCTCCTCCTCCTCCTCCTCTCCTCCTCCTCCTCCTCCTCCTCCTCCTCCTCCTCCTCCTCCTCCTCCTCGTCCTCCTCCCCCTCATCCTCCTCCAGCTCCTCCTCCTCCTCCTCCTCCTCCTCCTCCTCCTCCTCCTGGATAAAACCTGCGTAGCCCCATCCTTTTCAACCTCCACCTCCTCCATCCCCTCTCCTCACAAGTAACTATCTCCCTGTCGCGGCCCGAAGCTTGTCGGTAGGGTGGGCTGGGCGTTGCGCCTGAGTCTTTCGCACTAGCGCACGTTCGTCCAAAATAGATGCAAGAGCTTCACGGATGGAGGGCGGGCAATCTTCAAAATGTGGCTCTCGCCCTAGCGCCGCGTACACTCGTTTTCAAATTCAGCATGAGCGTCACGGCAAGCGGGCGGCCACTTTGGCTCTCGCCATAGCGCCGAGCACATTCGTCTTCAAAAAATGCAAGGGCTTCGCGGATGGATGGCGGCTCCTTTTCAAAATGTGGCTCTCGCCGTGGCGCCAGTCGAGCACATTCATTCTGAATAATTGCAAGAGCTTCGCGGATGGAGGACGGTTCCTCATCAACATGTGGTTCTTGCCTTTAACGCCGCGCACATTCGTTCGAGAATGTGCAACCGTTTCACGGGTTCTCATGTAAACTAACGACCCAGATATAATGTTTTGGCACGGTGTCAGACTGTTGAGGCGCAACAATTATGTTGACTAGCGGTGTTGAAGTCCTGGGAAGGGCGTTCGGGCACGACTCAGGATCGCCAAGACGCAACAGCAATAGTGATTTGCGGTGTTCAAGTCCGAGGAATGGTGTTTGGGCACAGTTCAGGATTGTCAAACGGTTGTCTTCCAACGGGGCACTTCCCTCAGTGGAAACGAATCCTCGTAGGGGGCCTGTGAAGCGGGAGCCCGGGGATGTATTGCGATATCGTTGATGAGTCTTGGGTCTACACTGGCCCTCCTTCTCCTCCTCCTCATTTCCCATCATTTCTAACTCCATCTCGCCCTCCCGCTCCTCCCTCCCTCTCCTCATCCCTCCTGATCCTGATTCTGCATTGATAGATTCTCCTTCTCTACCACTGGATCGGCCAATGGAAAAGCCAATATGGGACCCCCCATCCTACCTGTTAAAACAGACTGTACAAATTCGGCATTGTCGCTTCCAACGTGGGCAGTATGCCGTCCATGTTGTTTCAAACTACGTGGCCAGAATGGGACGGGGCGAATCCCGAGCGAAAGGCATACATGTCGCTCTCGCTTCGGCGCCGCGCGCACTATCTGGAGTGTTGGGTTATCGAAGATCTTTCACCGTCGTCTTCATAGCCGCTGTAATTCCCAGGTGTGGCGGTTGGCCACGCCCCCGTGCTTCGAATGGTTCGCGTGGCTCTTGGCCACGTTACTTTTCCTGCCAACGCGCCCACCTGGACGCAGGGCTCTTCCTTGCTTGCTTGCTTGGGCTATCGCCTGGGCGCGGCGCACATGTTTCGCAACATCTTCGTCGACGCGGGAGCGGACGAACATGTCGCTCGCGCTTCGGCGCCGCGCAGACCTTGTCTGAAAGTGGCGTGCCCGCCTCGGCGCGGCGCAGACTTTCTCTCGCCAGTGCTGGGGGCCCGCGCGAGCAGATGCCTTGTCGCCACCGCCCAAGCTCCGTGAAAATGTTGCTCGGAAGCGGCGTTCCGGCGCGGGCGTGGCGTAGTTATAGCTCGTTCGCCGAATCGCGTGAAAGCGACAGCGGCAGCGGGACCGCGCGAGAGCGTGCGAAATGCTGCCCTCGCCCAAGCGCTGCGCAGTTTGCGGGTGAGAGTGGCGGTGCTGTGTCGACTCCGCGCGTGCTCCTTCTTTCTCGCCGACCCCATCAGACGTGCTTCACCACTCCCGCCCCTGCGCGGCCCGCGTTGTCTTCCCTCCGCCAAGTCGTGGGAAGGGGGGCCGCGCGCGAGCGCCTTCCGATTGCCAGGTGGCAGCGCGCTCCAATCCCAAGATCAAGGTGTGCAACAATTGATCACCATGGTGCGGGAGGGCGGGTGGTATTAGGCGGGTCCCTCTGACTCGCTCGACTCGGCTACAGTCAGAATCTCTGATCAGGACGGGCGGTAAGGACGCAAGGGCCTTGGACGCCGAAGACGGTACTTTCTGGGCGGCGGGCTGCCAACACCCTGAGAGGCTGACCAGTAAAGACGGCGAAGGACGGGCCGCAGAGGCAAGGACGCGAGGGTACCCTGAGGACAATGGCGCGTCCTTACTGTGGATCTTGACTGTAATGTGACCCCACCCTTACCCCTCCTTCTCCTGACGCCGCGCCCCCCTGCGAAGACGGCGCCTGGTCCAGGCCCTCGGCGATGAACTGCGCCGGGAAGCCCTTCTCGAACTCCTCCTTCCTCGAGGGGGGGCGGCCCAACCCGCGGCGGCCGGCGGGGCTCCCCACCCCGACGGGAGGAGGGGGGAGGAGTAGGGGGGCAGGCGGAGAGGGAGGAGCGGGAGGAGGGAGGGGAGGAGGAAAAGGGGAGGAAGGGGGGGGCACGAGGAGGAGGAGGAGGAGGAGGAGGAGGAGGAGGAGGAGGAGGGGGAGGCGGAGCGGGGTGGGGAGTCGATCAGAGACCGTGTAACGTCAACAAGACTGGGGGGGGAGGATGAGGGGGGATGGGGCAGGAGGCATGCAGCTCTGCAGGGGCTAAGTTCGCCCTTCGCTCGGACTGCCTGTGCGGCTGGGCGCTGAGTGGCAGCGCGCCCGCTGGCGCGGCGCACAGGAATCAGAAGGCTTGAGCGCGTAGCAGAAGAGAGGGAAGGGTGGGGGAGGACAAGAAGGACGACGAGGGGCAGGGGGAGGGGAAGGGGGACGAGGAGGAAGACAAGAAGGACGACGAGGAGGACGGGGAGGAGGAGTGGAGGAAGAGGAGGGGAATGGGGACAAGGAGGAGGAGGACAAAAATGATGAGACACAGAAGCAAAAGAAAGAAGTAGGAGGAAGAGGAGGAGCGCAAGTAACTGATTTTGTAGAGGAGCGCAAGTTGCTGAAAGGAGGAGGAGGAGGATGCGTGATCAAGGACCGAGGTTGTGGGACATGTTGGTCCTTGTTTGGAGCTCTGGAGGTCTCCAGAGGCCTCTGGATTTACCCTGCAGACCCCGAGACACCCGGAGACCTTCGGAGGCGGGGGAGGGGGGGAGGGGGGAGGGGCAGTGGCGGACGAGCGGGAGGATGAGCAGGAGGAAGAGAAGGAGGCAGAGGAGGAGGACGAGGACGAGGCGGAGGAGGAGGAGGAGGAGGAGGAGGAGGAGGAGGGCCCCTGCCCATGCTCTGGCGGGCAACTCCCTGATGGACAGGGGCCTGGGGGGGGGGGGGGGGCACGGTCCAGCTCTCTCGGGGAGAGCCATGCCACTCCTCGGCGGCAGCCCGCAGAAGAGGCGCGGCGGCGCGTGCCAAGGCGGAGGACGAGGAAGAGGGGGAGGACGAACAGCAGCAGCAGCAGCAGCAGCAGCAGCAGCAGCAGCAGGAGCGGGGCGATCGGGAGGAGCAGGATGACCAGGGGAAGGCGGGGGAGGCGGAAGCAAGGAGCGGGGTCATATCGATGAGGCGCTGGGGCGGGAACCAAAGGCCGTGTGGGGCCTCTCTGCTGTGCCAGCGGCTCGTGCCGTAGCTTCCGTTTAAAGCTTCTGCCGCTTGTCACGATGCCCGCGGATTCCTCTCGAAGGGGTAGTGCTTGCTCGCATACGGCATGCCACCGCTCTCGAACCAGCAATCGAAGACCTCGTCTACGCGCTTCAGCATGCCTGGGTCGTTGCCAAGAGGATCGAAAAAACACGATGGAATCGGCAGCACGCCAAACACTGCTCAGCGCTTCCCGTGCATAACCTCTCAGTTCTCCTCCCCCAAGTCAGCGTCACGTACCACTCCAGACCTTGCAACCCCTTGTTGTGTCCCCCCACGCTCCCAATGACAGATCTTCGGGTGAGAAGAGCGCGACGAATCATGGTCCTGGAAAAGTGGGCTGGCACAGAATGGTTCCCGGAACGAGCCGCAGCGGCCGAACCAAGCAAGACCGGACCGAATCGGCGAGAACGGACCTAATTTTTGCACCGGACAAGACCGAGCCTGCACACCCTTGCCAAGATCAGTCAGCATCGAATCGGAAATTTGGATTGAGTGGGAACGTGCATCAGATCGGAACGCATCGGCATCGGATCGAATCGGAATGCGCGTCGGATCGGGAATCGAATCGGATCGGCTGCGCTAGGATGCACAACAACGACAATCGAACATCGGAACGCATTGGATCGACGGAAATCTGAATTGAGTCGGATCGAGCCGGCCGAAATCGACATCGAATCGGATCGATCAGGTCTGCAGGGATACTGCCTGCTGCCTCATCCCCTCCTCCCCTTTTCCCCCTCCTCCTCCTCCTCCTCCTCCTCCTCCTCCTCCTCCTTCTCCTCCTCCTCCTCCTCCCCCTCGTCTTCCTCCTTCTAATACTCCTACTTCTATTGACTCCACCACCCCTGCTGCGAGGCGTGTGGGCGCTGGCCGACGGGGGCGACGCCCTGCGCGCAAAGAGTCAGTGCGCCCGCGCGCGGGCTCGCACCCGGGCGGGCAAAAAGCACGGGCGAGGCGCGACACGGCCACCTACGGCAAGCTCGTCTCGCTACGACGCCAGCGCTGGTTTCGGACACCGCGTGGATCGTTCAACCTGAACAATTGGCGGCTTGTTGATCGCCAGATCGTCCCATACACTGCCGTGGCGAACGTCTTCGCGGTTCGGACAGATGGCTCCTGCGCTCCCGCGGAGTGATTCGGGCCCCTCTGGATTGAGAACCCTGTTGCTTAAAACAGGATCGGAAATCATTCCGCCCAATGCGGGCTTGATGTCCGCGCAGAGACATTGCTACTCGTCCCACTCCGCCAACTGCTCCAGCCGTCAGTTACATTGCGCGCAGACAACATCATACTTTTGCCACGGCGATGTACTGGCAGATATTGGGCCACCTTCGGCTTTCAACCTTGAACGCTCGCGGCAAGGTCGCTGCCGCGTAGACACAACGCGAACCTGCCGTACAGTCGAATTTGATCGGAGCGGACACGCCAGAGAAAACAAGACCCGTCCGAGGGCCACACTGCCATAGCATATATGTAGAAGGTATGGGCAGCGAAAAACACAGGACACAGGGGTGCCCTTGACTTGGCAGGGTCGACCCACTCATCGAATTCCACCGTGACCCCCTCAAAATCACCTCCTCCCCACCGCGAAGAGAAGCCCGCACTGAAGACCAGGATGGGTGAGCGCGCCGCACCGGGCAAGAGTAAAAGCGAGGCAGGTACTCGCTGCCTCATCCCCCTCCTCCTCCTTCTCTCCCTCCTCCCCCTCCTCCTCCTCCTCCTCCCCCTCCTCCCCCTCCTCCTCCTCCTCCTCCCCCTCCTCCTCCTCCTCCTCCTCCTCCTCCTCCTCCTCCCCCTCCTCCTCCTCCTCCTCCTCCTCCTCCTCCCTGTCCGCCTCGGAGCGCGGCGGACCGCTGGAGGGCGGTCCCCTGTGGCGGGAGGCTCGAGATCAGAACTGCGCCTCGGGCACGCGGGCAGCATGAGATTGGCCCCGTCACCCGTCCCTGCTGCCTGGGATGGCCGGCAGCGGGCATGGGGCTGCGGGCGGCCCGCGGCGCTGGTACGGCGCGGCGGCTCCGCGGCCGCAGAGGAGGTCTCGGGGGCTCCCCAAAGCCCGGAGGGACCAGGCAGAGCTCAAACCACCCGAAAATCTCGATTCTCGGTTCTCGAACCTCAAGAATCGACTCGCCTCTCAGAACGACAGCTCCTCGCTCCAGACTTCCGACGGCCTTACACAGAGGCTGCCAGAATGAGCGGGGATCCATGATCGACGCGCACGCGAGACAGACCACCATCTCTCTCTCTCTCGATGCCCCCGTTGGCGCTGCCCGGCCTTTGCCCTTCTTGGAGGGGATCTCGATGTCATCGATGAAGTGGCGGTGCAGGTCGGTGACCTTGCGACCTCAGACACTCGGAGGTGGACAGAACTCTATTTAGCAAAATACCCGTCAGTGAAAACGACCGGGGACCAAACCCCGCGGGAGCAGGTCCCCCAAAATTGCGGCCGCAACTCCGTCTCGCGAGCCAAGACAGGGGGAATTCTCTAATCGACTTGGCGGCAGGGTGTGTGTTTCTAGTAGCCACCAAACCACAAAGCCCTGTCTCAGAGTCGCGCGCTGGCATGGCCCGCTTCCCCCGTCGCGCTGTGTTCGCTTTTGCCTTCGTGCCTCAGTTCGCCCCCGGTGCACCCCACCGCTTGCCACGACCGGCATCTGACTGTCTTTGACCACTTGGCGCCCGCGGATTTGAAACACGTTCTCTGGGGGGAGGCCTCCCTTGCAGGGCCAGCGCCGCAAGCCTCACCCCACCTCGCGCAGGCTCCTCGGCTCTGGCCCTGAACCTGCCCGACCGAGACCCGCGGGGAGCCCCTGGGCGCATCAGACGAATGGGGAGCATCAGCGGCACGGGGACCAGGCGTCACATAAAGTGTTCCTGCGCCGAGAACCCCCACCCCACACACCCAGAGCGAGAAAACATGATCACTGCGGGGCGGTCTGGCCCGGCCTTCCGCCCCTGGGATTGACCACCAGCACCCGCTATAGGCTCACCACGCCTAGAACTGTGAAGACGGGCCCTCGGGCCGAGCCTCCTGGACGTGTTCCCCAGTGGGAGAGGAGCACCAGGCGGCACGAGGAGGAGAGGCGGGCGGAGGAGGCACGCATCTAGCCGACTGCTCCGCCAAGAAACCAAAGGCTGCGGTGACTGCCCCTCGGTGCACCCTGGCCACCTGGACGAAGGACAATCTGTCGGTTCGCGTTTCGGGCCGTCGGACCAGCTGCGGACAGGCCAATCATTCGGCGGAAAGATCGGCGGCTCCGAATCCCTCGTCGAGCTGCTCCATCTGCTGAGAGGGCCCCCCCGCACTCCAGGAGGCGCTGCGGCTGGCAGGTTGGCAATGGGGGGGCAGGCCGGAGGGAGGTCCCCTGCGGCACACGCGTGCAGGGGCGCGCTGCGGGCCTGAGAGCTCCTCGAGCTCCGCCACCGAGCCGACGCAGATGATCTCCTGTGGTGCGCTTCCCCAAGAGATCTCCCGTCGGGGCATGCGCAGCAGGTGTGGAGGATCTATCAAGTCGGCCTGTGAGAGTGCGGGGGTCTGGAAAACTCCCAGGCCTCCGGGCCCCCATTCAACACTCGCTGCAGGGGTACGGCGTCCAGCCACAAAGCCAAGTGATTGGTGGAGTCTGGCTCAAAAGCAGGCTTCTCGGCTAGCAACTCAGCATGAAGCAGAAGACTGCCAGACAAACCAGGTACACCGAAGGATGTTCGGGGTGGTTGGAAGCGGAGGCCCCAGCCACTGAGCCACTTGCGAGTCATTGGGGGAAGGAAAAATCCTATGCGGCAGGATTCTACCTTGAAGTGGGCATGAAACCGGGTGAATATTCCAACCTTGCACTAGGCTTCGACCTCATCTTTCGTATGGACTTGACGTCCCGGTTAGTTCCTGTTGGCGCCGGGGCCTGAGACAGGACCCCCCGACGGGGTTCAATCTTGAACGCCCAAGCTGACGCCGCCGACGCACCGAGGAGGTGCGAACCTGCTGTGTGCGCCCTCCTGGGAGCCCCCCTGAGGATCACCGAGCTCCTCGTAGTCGGCCGAGACCCACAGCGGCAGCGGGGTGCCCCAGTAGCGCGTGCGGGAGACGTTCCAGTCCCTGGCCTCCACGCATCGTGTGTTCTTTACCCTCGTACGCCACACGCGGCCTCCACAAATGTGCGTGTGTGTGTGAGCTTGGTTCCAGGCCTCAATGCCGCATGGGAGGTCTGCACGAAGGACGATGCAAATGTTGTGTCGGGGCTCTCCTTGCATATCGCTCACCACCTTTCGCCTTTCTGCTACGTCTATCCACAAGGCTTCCGAATCAAGCCATGAGACCTTACCATCCCGCACTGGCTTCGCTCCCCTAACCCTGACAATGCACAATAACGTGTTTCATGTTGCTCTTTGGCTGTTGGCAATCAACCATCGAACTTGCTGTAAACTGTGCCATATGTGCTCATGTTTGTCTCCTCTCTGGTGCCCGTCTTGGGCTCATCCTCCCACGCCTCCCCAATTTACCCTCGTGGCTGTTCCACGTCGACGTTTACGTTTTGTTGGTATGCCTCGCTGAGCCAGTTGTGGAAGCGCTTATCCTTCACGTAATCTGGCACCCAATACGTCTGCTTGTTGTTCTCCACGAGCTTGTCGCGGATCTCTTCCACCTCGAGGGCAGAATCTTAACAGAGAGCGCCTGTCGCTATCGGGGGAAAGCGAAGTGGAAGACAAACCCAAAACCCTGGCTGTCACCAGCCATGGCGCCCGAGAACCTAGCCACGTGCACTGAACTATACAGGGAAGAGTTGCAGGGGGGCATCTTTGAAGGCGGCGTTGAGTTTGAAAGGCGAGCGTGACCACGCCTGGCGCACCATTTTCGGATCCAATCACCATTTTGGTCAGCAGCGTGAGACGGCATCCACATGGTCCGGAGCCACTTTCGTCCCGCGTAAGACAATTCAGGCGTCCAAGAAAATGAAAGGGTGCTTTCCCCGGGACCCGCAAGCGCGCGTTCCGCTGAGCAGCTATCTGATGTCAGGACCCCTGTTGAGTAATCCACGGCCCCTGTTGAAAGTGTGACACAACGAAGCGGAACGCGGGAGAGAAATTGCACCGACTCCTCAAACGACGTGCAAAGGCAAGGGGCACGCAGCGGACAGACGAATAGAGAAGCGCAAGCAGAAGGTGCATGCAGTCCGACCCAGGCCAGAAAAACATCTCTCAAGAACATGAGACCCTCCGCCAGCCAAAACAAACAGGACATCCAAGGGTACCCTCCCCAGGATGCACAAAAACATCCAACAAACACGAAGAACACTAGGGCACCCTCCCCGAACCGACATCGATCTTCTACCCCGGTCCGACTGTAGAGATGACAGGACGGCGGGACAGAGGCGCAAGGGAGAGGGAGAGGAGGGGGAGGCGGGAGAGCCAAGCTTAGGGGCGGGAGCCGACGGAGCCGAGGGGGATGGCAAGCGCAGGACCACCGCTGCCGCCCTCGCTGAGGGATCCTGGGTAAGAGTGACCTTTGGTGCGCGGCTTTTTGGGGGCCGAGGGGGGACCAAACCTGGGCGCGCAAGCCGCTGCTCCTGCTTCGTTTTCAGCCATCTGGAGACCCATCTGTGCCCGCACGAAAGGTCACTCTGGCGAAAGGTCACTCTTACGTCTAGTCGACACCCCAAGCCAGGACCCCCGCTCCTGACCTGGTTATCGAGGGGGTCCCGGTTGGGGGTGGGGGCGTTTTTGTGGTTCACAACTTGTTAAAGTGAGGTTCCTGTTCCCCGCATCCTGAGTGGGGCTCTTGTTTTCTCTGGACACCCGCGCAGGAACCAGAACACACCCATGTCATCATCGCCATCAACATCACCATCAACATCACCATCAACATCACCATCACCATCATCATCAGCATCATCAGCATCAACATCAGCATCGACACCATCAGCATCATCACCACCACTCTTATCTTCATCATCATCATCGTCGCCATTATCACCATCATTATCATCATCGGACATCTACCATCCCAACATCGTCGCCATGATACTCATTGTACCTACTCACTCAATCACCCACGCACTCATACCGAGAAAGTCTCGAGCGGGAGCCGCGTCTGTGGTTAAATGGAAACGAAATCTCGAGCGGGAGCCCCCTTTCCTATGGGGCTCGCAGATCATGCTCATGGCACTAGTCCGAGCAGCTTACTCGAAGCCTGCATCGATCAGTGTTGGGCCGCGAGGCTTGAATCTTGAAGAAGTCTCAGGCGGGGGCCTTGTCTCTGATTGAGTTGCGGGCAGTCTTAAGCGGAAACTCCCTCCCGATGGAGCCAGCAGATCATGTTACTAAACCGAACGGCTCATTCGGAACCTGTGACTGCCGTCACGCTTAAGCGCCTGAGGCGTGAATCGCCAGGCAGTCTCGGGCAGCGACCTCGTCTGTCCGCGAAATGCGAGGAATCTCCTGCAGGAGTCCATGCCCCAAGGGGCCCGCAGATCATGCTACTGATCCGAGCGGGTCATTCGAAACCTGCAGCTGTCGTCATGCTTAAGCTCGTGAGGCTGGAAGGCGCAAGAAGTCTCAGGCGGGGGCCTCGTCCGTGAGTGAATGGCGAGGCAGTCTCAGGCGGGAGCCCCCTCATAATGGGGCCCGCGAGTCATGTTAAGGATCCGAGCGGGCCACTCGAAACCGGTACATGTCGTTACTGTTGGACCCTCAAGGCTTGAATCTTGAAGAAGTCTCAGGCGGGGGCCGTGTCTGTGAATGATTGTGAGGCGGTCTCAGGCGGGAGCCCCCTCCCAATCGAGCGGGTGATTCGAAACCTGCAACTGTCGTCACGGTTGAGCTCTTGAGACTGGAAATTCAAGAGGTCTCAGGCGAGGGCCGTGTCTGTGAGTCAACTGCGAGGCAATCTCACTTGGGAGACCCCTCCCAATGAGGCATGCAGGGGCCACTAGAAACCTGCAACTGCCATCATTTTTGGGCCCCTGAGGCTTGAAGCTTCATAAAAAATCAGGCGGGGGCCTTATCAGCGAGTGATTTGCGAGGCAATCTCAGGCGGAAGCCCTCTCCTTGTGGGGCCCGCAGATCATGTTACTAATCCCAGCGGGTCACTTGGCACTTGTACGTGTCGTCGCGTTTGGGCCCTGGTGGTTTAACTCTTGTGGAAGTCTCAGGCGGGGGCCTTGTCCGTGAGTGAACGCCGAGGAAGTCGCAGGCGGGACCCCCCTCCCCCTAGGGCTTGCACCTCATGTGTTCCCAACATCGTAAGTGGGGTTCCTGATTTCTCTGGACACCCCCGCGAAGAAACAATAACACATGCATGTGATCATTGCCGTGACCATCACCATCACCATCACCATCATCATCAGCAACAACAGCATTACCATCATCATCAACAGCATCGTCATCATCACCAAAATCAACATAATCATCGTCATCATCATCGCCACCAGCATCGAACATCTACAACTAGACCATCACCACCATCACCATCACACGCACACTCACTCAATCACTCACACACTCACTCACACGCTCGTACGGCGGAAGCCTCGACCGGGAGCCTGGTTTGTGACTGAATGGTGGCGAAGTCTGGAGCGGGATCCCGCCCCCCCCGTGCGACCCTTTGTTTGGATGGTTACAACAAGGCTTCTTATTGATCTCCGCAGGGAGAGATTCCCATTGCGTTCCGATTGTAGTCCCATTGACTTCCCGTATGAGAAGGAGGACGTGAGGGGCGGAAGGAAACCCGATCGCATTGCCATCGCATTCCTACTGGAAGAGGAGGGGGATGGAGTGAGGTGGTCGTCTTGTTTCTTCTTGCAATCCAACTGTGTTTGCAGCGGGGGAGGAAGGAAAAACGAGGAAGGCGGGAGCGGAGGAGGGGGGGAAGGGCAGCGGAAGCTTACCAGGATAACAAAATAAAAAACAGCAATAAACATATGGAAACAAACAACAACAACAACAACAACAACAACAACAACAACAACAACAACAACAACAATCATTTAAGACTGGGGACACTCCGTTCTCACCAGTGCCAGGGTTTTCATAGGAGGCGGGCAATACCCCCACTTTGTGGGGGGGCCGGTTCAAGCTCTACCAAATTTCCAAACGACTCTTCGCCACCACCCACACCCAGCTTCCCGCCCTATGACGTTCGGACACTTCACTTCGTGGCATGCGGACGACCGTGGCTACTATTCAGGGCCCCGCGGCCGACGACGACGGCGTGCGCGCGCGAAGAAAAAACGAATGTGTCCCGCATGGTATTATTTGACAGGGATGATGGCCCTGGCAGGTGCGCAACCGTTGTCGCAGAAGTTCGAAAAAGTTGCTCGCAAAAGCCCGTTTGACAGAAATGTTTAAAAAGTGTTGGGTTTCCTACGAATCCGCAAGAGCGCGCGGGATGAGATTTTGACATTTTTTTGTTGAAAAACCATTGGTTTTTTGATGTTTTTATGTTAAAATCGCTCCGAACACTAAGCTTTTGGAAGGATTTCGTCTTGCGCGCGCGAATGTCCACTTTACCTTATTTTTTGCAAGGGATTCTTGAAATTTGATTATATTAGAACAAGAAATGTCATTTTATAGTGTTTTTTGCAAGGGAAAACGGATTACAACAAAACAACCGGATCTTGATGACATCGTTTACCTGAGGCTTCCTCACGAAAATGATGAAAATGTAGCTGCGGCCTAGGCGGCGCAGGGGGGCCGTGCACCAGGGGCCCCAACAATAATTATTCTTTAGAATTAATAATGTTCAACAACAACAACAACAACAACAACAACCACACCACAACCACAACCACAACCACAACCACAACCACAACCACAACCACAACCACAACCACAACCACAACCACAACCACAACCACAACCACAACAGCAACAACAGCAACAACAGCAACAACAGCAACAATCAGCAACAACAGCAACAAACACAATAAACAGCATACAATGAAACATAGGAAAGACAACACAAGGTTCACAAACACGAGGTTGTTCCTGTGTTGCCTGTTTTTCCGGTGTTCAAAAAAACACCACAAACACAACAAACACAAACAACAAGAAACATATGGAAAAGCCTGTGGCTTCGCAATGAAACATAGGAAAGACAAAAAGTAGAGCGGCGGTCACAAGGTTCGCTGGTGCGTCCTACTTCTCTCTGTGGAAACACGAGGTTGTTCCTGTGTTGCCTGTTTTTCCGGTGTTCCTGGTAGGCTTCCGCGCCCCCCCTCCCTCCTCCACCCTCCCTCCACCTCTCTCCCTCTCCTTTGTAATGCAAACGCAATATGATTGCAAAAGAAAGCAACAAAAGGACTTCCTCACAACCATTCCCCCTTCCTTACCTACCGATGGGAATCCGGATAGCTGTCCTATCGCATTCCTATTGGAAGAGGAGGGGGATGGAGTGAGGTGGTCATCTTGTTTCGCATTCAATCCTGATGCAATTGCATTGGAGGAGGAAGAGAAAAGAAGGCGGAGGAGGGGGAGCAGCGGAAGCTTAACAGGACAAACAGACAAAAACATGGAAAACAGGAGCAGGCCTGCGCCTGCGCAAAAGACTACACAAACATTACAGAAAAACGACAGTCACAGGGTGCGTGGCTTTTTCCTGTTTTTCTCTATATGAAAGCAGAAGGTGTGTCCTGTTGTTCCTGTTCTTCCCGATTTCCCTGATAAGCTTCCGCGCCCCCCCTCCCTCCTCCACCCTCCCCCCTCTTCTCGCCCTCTCCTTTCTAATGCAAGAGCAGTAGGGTTGCAATAAAGAAAGCCACAGGATATCCTCACCTCCCTCCCCCCTTCCTTACCTACCGATAGACAACCCGACTGTATTCCTATCGCATTCCTAATGGAAAAGGAGGGGGATGGAGTGAGATGGTCATCTTGCTTCTTATTGCAATCCTATTGCAATTGCATTGGGGGAGGAAGGACGGATGAAGAGGGAGGGCGGAGGAGGGGGGAGGGGGAACGGTAGCTTACCAGGAAAACGGGAAAACAAAGACATGGCAATATAAAAAAGAGCGACAGTCACCTTGTTCGTCGTTTGTTTGCCTATCTTTCCCGATGAAAGTACCAATCGTTTCATGTGTTTCAGGTTTTTCTGGTTTTCCTTGTAAGCTTCCGCGAACCCCCTCCCTCCTCCACCGTCCCTCCTTCTTTCCCCCTCTCCTCTCTAATGCAAACGCAACAAAGTTGCAATAAGAAAGCCACAAGATCTCATCACCATCCTCCACCCATCCTTTCTACCGATGAGAATCCCGATCGCATTCCTATCGCATTCCGACTGGAAGAGGAGGGGGATGGAGTGCGGCGGTCATCTTCTTTCCTGTTTGTGATTGCATTGGAGGAGAAAGGATGCAGAGGGACGGAGGAAGAGGGGGGACGGGCAACGGAACCTTTCCAGGAAAATAGAAAATAACTGAAAAACAAGAAAAAGCACGCTTTTACGCGGAACAATGAGAAAACTAAAATCAGAGCGGCTGTATGATTTTTCCCTGTGAACGCACAAGGTGCTCCTGTCTTGCCTGTTTTGCCGGTGTTCCTGGTAAGCTTCCGCGCCCCCCTCCCTCCTCCACCCTCCCTCCTCCTCTCTCCCTCTCCGTTCTAATGCAAGCGTAATAGGATCGCAATACGAAAACAATGGGACCTCCTCACCGCCCTCCCCCCTTCCTGCTCTACCGATAGAACTACAATCGGCAACAACAGTGCGAACATAATAAAATCCCATCCGGGATTATCAATGCTTGTAGAACAAGAAAGCGCTGGTTGCAACCGCACAAACGAAGGGTCCTCCCCCTCCTTAATGGGGCCCGCAAATTACGTTACTATCCCGAGCGGGTCACTCGAAGCTTGTATCGGTCGTCAATGCTGGGCCCCCCGACGCTTGAATACCGCGGAAGTCTCAGGCGGGACCTAGTCAGTGAATGAGTGTCGGGCCAGTCTCAGGCGGGAGCCCCATCCCTAAGGGCCCTCAGATCCTGTCACTAAACAGAGAGGGTCATTCGAAACCTGTAACTGTCGTTATTTTAAGCGCCTGAGGCGTGAACCGTCTGGAAGTGTCAAGCGGGGGCCTTGCCAGCGAGCGAATTGCGAGGACGTCTCAGGCGGGAGCCCCCTCGCTATTGGACCCGCACCTTGCGCTACTAATCCCAGGGGGCCAATCGAAACCTGTATCTGTCCTCACTCTTGAGCTCATGGGGATCGAGTATGGGGGAAGTCTTGAGCGGGAGCCTCGTTTGGGAGTGACTTGTGAGGAAGTCTTGAGCGGGAGACCCTCGCTACGGGGGTCATCACCATTATCATCATCATCACCACCACCATTATCATCACCATCACCATCATCGCAACCACCATCATCATCATCATAATCATCATCATCATCATCATCACCAGCATCATCATCATCATCCTCATCCTCATCCTCATCCTCATCCTCATCATCATCATTGTCGTCGCCGTCATCGTCATCATCTTTCTCATCATCACAATCAGCATCATCATCAACCTCATCGACGTCATTGTCTTCAGCACCACTGCCAACCTCCTCAACATCATCATCATCATCATCATCATCATCATCAACATCAACATCAACATCAACATCATCACCAGCATCATCATGAACGCTGGCATCATCATCATCAGCAGCATCACCATCATCATGCTCATCATCGGTGCAATCAGCATCGTCCACATCATCACCAGCACCATCGACATCCGCATCAACATCTTCATCATCATCATTATCATCATCAAGATCACCAACACCATCACCCTCATCATCATGATCAGCATCATCACCCACATCAAAAATCTTAACATGAGCATCTGCAGCATCATTAGCATTATCATCACCACCGTCATCATCACCAGCATCAGCAGCATCACCATCATCAGCAATCATCAGCGTCATCATCGTCATCATCGTCGTCCTCATCCGCATAACCATCGGCATCACCATCAGCGTCACCATTATCATCAGCATCATCATCTTCAGCCTCACCATGATCATCATTAGCATCAGGATCAGCATCACAACCATCATCATCAGCATTACCATCGTCATCATCATCACCGTCGCCGTCGTCACCACCAAAATTATCATACGCGCCAGCATCCCCATCACCGTCATCAGCACCATCACCAGTAGCACCATCATCGTCATCATCATCATCATCATCATCATCACCACGACCACCACTATCATCACCATCACCATAACTTTCATCACCACCATCATGACCATCACGATCATCACGCTTATCATGTTTATCATCATGCCATCATCATCAGCAGCATCATCATCGCGCCTACACGCACTAACACGCACATACACACACTCACACACACACACGCACGAATACACACACTCGCACGCTCATCAAAATAAAGTCTTGAGCGGCACCTTCGTTTGTGAGCGAATCGCGAGGAAGTCTTGAGTGGGAGCCCGTCCTTATGGGGTTTTCGCGTCACGCGGGTACTCCGAAACGGTCATCGGCATAACCTGTAAACAACACAGGTTTGGTGACACCAGGCAGACTGCATCCCGAGAAGATGGAGGAGAAGGAGAAAGAGGAGAAAAAGGGGGAAAAGGAGAGGAGGAGGAGGGGGGGGAGGAGGTGGGGGGGAGGAGGGGAAGGAGGAGGAGGAGGAGGAGGAGGAGGAGGACGACGACGAGGAGGAGGAGGAGGAGGAGGACCAGTGGAAACCCAACAGTCATCAACGATTTTGGAATAAGCCCTCCCTCCAAGCTCCCTCTTCTCAGGCCCCTACAACTGTTCATTTCCATTGAGGGAGCTGCCTCGTTGGAAGACACGGGTTGGAAGAGCCTGAAGCATGCCAAAACATTGCTCTCGGGATTCCAACGCCATGGATCGACCTGATTGTTGCGTCCTGACAATCTTGAATCGTGCCAGAATGCCACATGAGATTTCAACACAACGAACCAGCGTAACTGTTGCACTTCATAATCCTGAACCCTTCCACAACACCATCTCTGGTACGCTGGTCGTGGGATTCGGTGAAGCTCTTGCAAGTTGTGTAAACTAATGTACGCGGTGCTACGGCGAGAACCACATGCTTGAAATGAACCGCCCACAATCCGTGAAACTTCTGCAAAGTGTTAGAACGAGCGTGCGCGACGCTAGAACGAGAGCCACATTTTGAAAACGACCCGCCCTCCATTTGTGAAACTGCTGTGATTGCTTCAGCTTCAGGGTCATCAATGGTGAGGAAGTCGTAGGCGAAACGTCCGGCCCGCCCTAAAAACTGGTCTCGGGGTGCGACAGGGACGAGTTGCTTTTATACGGAAAAGGAGAGGAAGAGGAGGAGGAGGAGGAGGAGGAGGAGGAGGAGGAGGAAGAGGAGGCAAGAAAAGGATGTTGGGGGGAGGAGTGCTCTGGGAGGCCTTTGGAAGCCTGAAAAAGCCCCAGGAGGCCCAGGAGGCTCCAGGAGGCAAGGGGAAACCCCAGGAGCCCCCAGGAGGCAAGAGGCCCACCGGAGAGGCAGGAATGAAAAGGAAGAGGAGGAGGGGGAGGAGACCCTAGAGACTCTGATAGCGGACCCTGTCCTTTTCCGCGGGCTCCCCACGGTGGCACGGCAAGCCACTTCCGGCGTCTGGGAGCCCTTTTTCCTCGCCCTGCCGAAGCTCGACGACGCGCGCGCCACAAAAACATTCCCGCAAACGGCGGCCCACGCCCCGGAGCCTCAGGGTAGGCGTCCAAGCCTTACTTTTGTTTGAACAAGCTCCCGATCTGCTTCAGGGCGTGCTGCACGCGCGCGAGTTCCTTCAGGCTGCGGCCATCTGCGTGGCACTCCCCTGATTGCGTGAGCTGCTCGCCCCTCCGCTGGAGGAGCGTGGTGATATCTGAGAAGATGGGTCTTGCGATGTCCTCAACTTCCTTCCACCTACCGTCGAACTCGGCCTTCCCAGCGAACGGAAAGTTGGCCATCCAGTCGAGGATGCACTTGGGCGCCTCGTCGGACCTCGCTTCGTAGACCTCGGCGGCCGCCTGCTTCATCTACTACAGGAGCCTTTGCGCGACCATCTGCGCTTCATCCCACGTCAGCGCAATGCTATCGAGGTTGCCTTGCGCCACCTCCACGGTCTGCTCGGCCGCTTGGGTCTCGACCAGCGACTCGTGGTCGATCTTCTCCCGGTGCGCCAACCTCGGCACCTCCACCTTCTCCTCGGCCTCAACGGCCTTCGGCGTCAGGAGGTCCGTGTCGACCTGCTATGTCGACGGCGCGTCCGCCGCCACCTTCGGCGCGTCCACGATCTTCTCGACGCGCTCAGTCACCGACGCCATCACGATCGTCTTGACCTTCTTCTTCTCGACCACCTGCACATTATCGATATCCTCCTGGGGGGCGCCACCCGGCGCGCCATGGAAGTCGCGCGCTATCAAGTGCTCGGCGGGGCGCCCCGCCGCGCGCCACGCGCCTGGCCCAGCTCCAAAGCCATGGTGGGAGGCCTGGTTGCGCAGCTTCCTGCCGATTCCGGGGATGATGGTGTAGACGCCGCGTCCACCTGCATGGGCGTGCTCCTGGATGACGGGCTCGATTGCCGTCATCCTCCCCTTCGTCTCGACCTGTTCGCTGGGCGGCTCCGCGACGCCCTGCAACGCTCCCGACGCCGCGCAGACGCACGCCGCCGCCGCCGCCGCAGCCACTGCTACTCGTTGACCTCCGCCCACAGCGCCCCGAGTGACGCCCTCGATGATCAGCCCGAGTTCCGCGCTAGAGACCCCCATGGCCGGGCGAACGCTGCCTGGCGGGGGAGGGGGCCCGCGTCGCAGCGCTTCAGCCAAAGTGGCTGGGAAGAGGAGGAGGAAGATGAGGGGGAGGAGGAGGAGGAGGAGGCGCACCCCTTTCCGCGCCCCAGCGCCCTACCTCGACGTCGGGGCCCTCCCTGACCTGTCGAGACCGACGTGCACTCGCACGTGGCCGACCCAGGATGGCCGCGCGGGCAGCGGCGGCAGCGAGGCGGCGGCAGCGCAGACAACATAATGCCGAGTGGACGCAATCGAGAGCAACTGCGTGCGACAGAAGACTTTCAGACGCGCTGGACTGCCTAAGGCGAGGGAAGACGGAAAACGCGCACTGCTCACCCCAGGTCACGGGCAGATGAGGAATGATAGAACGCAAGTGATGAACAGCTGCAGATTCTGGCAATAATCATGGCGGAATGCTGCCAGATTCCGGCACCCGCAAACACATGGGCGAATCTGCCGCCCGCATGTCCGAGTCGCGTTCGAGCTGTCGCAAACCGATTTGGAAACCGAGGTGCGAATAAAACAAGAAACAACTGACCGATCGGCCCAAGACGAATCACAATGGTTTCGGCATCAGCGCAGAAGGCCTCGGGGTCCATCGCCAAAATACGCGGAGGGATTGTATTACGCATGATATGCTTTACTACGTTACATGTGATACTGGTCGCGATCAGCTTCTGGGTCTGTTTGTATTGTTCATAGATGGCAGCAGGGCCATACTAGGACTCATAAGCCTTCAGGGCGTCTTACATATGGAATATGGAATGCTGGAAAGCTTGAGAATACTTATAGGCGAGAACGAAGTTGCCCTCATCATCGCGACGCTGCCATTCGTCATCTAGATCCAAGAATGCAGGAGACTGGGCGGCAGCGCGGGTCATCGCGGCCCTGGACATCACAGCCAGCGAGCAACACTCAGTTCTCACACCAATAGAGGTGGCCTGTAAGAGGAGCCTGCGGGGAATCCTGTGCCCAGGAGCCAAAGCAAGTAGTTGCTGCGCCTCCCGCCCCCGAGCATGCGCCCCCTCGGCTACGGCGCGGAACTGGGCGACGCGCGAGCAGACGGAGCCAGCGAGAGGGGGCGGAAGCGAAACTAGCAGCCGCGGCTTTGGCCTCGCCCCCACGGGTCCAACGCATCTTGCCAACTCGGCCCCGGGCTTGCGACGGTGCAGAAATCCCCGCTGCCACTCTAAGATAAGCCCCCGAATGCGCCATTTTGGATTTCACAATATCAAATCCAGCGCCGCGGCAAAGTTGAAACGCGCGCCGGGGATCGACTGGCCTCGAAATCGCAAGCTCGCACTTGGGGAAATTCAGGGCAAGCCCCCGGCACGGCGCAGCAGCGAATAAAAACTCCACAACTCAAGGCAGGCCGCGCACGTGATGCCCAGATGCGATGGCCAAATCGTCGGCGAACAAAATCGGACAGACATGGGGGGACAGACGAAGGCGAAAAATAGCAAAGTATCGGGTCGAACGCAAACGCGAATGGTGGGGCGCTGGGAGGACCCCCTTGTTTCACCCCGCGGGGGCCCCAGAAACCGCCGACGTCGCATCTGCGAATATGCAGCGCCGCGCTGGTTTGCACGGAGACCGAATTCACCTGGCGAAGAAGGGGGGGGGGGCGTTCCACCGCAATTTCAGCGAAATCCAAGGGCGGTGAGCGGAGGGGGAACGCGATCGTCATGTCGACGAGGTCTCTCCCTGTAATCATCGATTTATCTAGAGCTTGCAGCATCATCAACTTGCCATCGAAATCCACGGCGCCATCGGCTACATAACTCCCACCACATGAGCCCCCGCTGCGCACAATCTAGCGTGTCCTTAGCCACCTGCATCAACGGACATGATGTTCGCATAGACGTTATCTATCGCTGGCGGGCGCGCGACCCCGCGCGCTTTGGCCGCGGGGCATGGGGCATTCACTCATTTCGGCAGGAGGGCCAACTGCGAGAAATTTAAATATGGAGAAAGCTGCTGATTATCCCAGAAGGACAGGCAATGGTCTCAGAACGCCCACATAACCAGCGGGCGCGGGGGCCGCAAGGCACTGCGCGGGGCGCCGTCGGGTCCGGGGCTCGGGACAACCTTGGTCTTCATGCCGAACCCACGCTGGTCCTCGGACAAGTTCCAAGGTCATCTTCGGGCGGTCGAATTGTGGGCGGGGGGCATGGATGAGGTCCAGGAGCCTGGCGGCAAAGCTGAAGTTCTTTCCCCATCGGGAGAATATTCGTACCCAATATCCAGACAGTTTCGACCCATGGCGGAGTCATCGGAAACCTCCCCCCATTGGCATTCAAGGACGGCGAACAGAAAAAATCACCAGGCGATGATTGGCCCGTGCATTCGCGAGCCTGCGGACGCAAGCAAGATGCTGATCCCCCTGGTCAGCGGACACGCCCCGAGCAGAGTTTCCGCGGCCCTCGGCAGCCAGCGCTGGCCTAGACAGATCGCCAACTATCCCGCAGAGTCCAAGAATATCATGCCATTCGCGACTGGATATGCCAGCGCAGTTCCCCAAATCAGGAGAAGCACGCATGGCCGCGCGAACTTCAGGAAATAGATGTTTGGAAAGGTCGCCGGGGCAGGAGTCGGAGTAGGCGCAGTCGGTGGTGAGAACGGCAAGCGCGCATGAGCTTCAACGCGCACGCAAATTTCTCGTCGTCGGTATTCGCACCACCAGAGAGAAAATCGAAATTACCCTGAACAGCGGCACGATGCATCCGTTGCTCGTTGTCGAGCAGGCGTTCGTTGGGGTCGGCGGACAGGTCCGAAAGATGAAGGAGAGCATCCATATGCGCATCAGACAACGGGCGCCTTGCAATCCAAGGTGGGATTGCGAGGGCGTGGACGGGGATCATGAGGCTGCAAACGCGCGTGGGGCGGGGAACCGTCGGAGGGCTTCTTGAGATCTGTCGGCCGCCAACTCGCGGTATTTTCGGGAGCCAAGTCAAGCAAGTAAACTGATGGTAAACTAAAGTAGGTACGATCCAGACGGGCAAGGGCAACATGCTCGTCTCTCGTACCTCCTTGCGCATGGCGAGCTGGCACAATCTCGAGGAGGGAGGGGAAAAACTTCCGAAACTCACCAGCAAACCGAGGCGGGGGAGCGGTATCCGTGCCACCCAATACTGAATGTGGCGCGTCACCTGCTTCCAGGACGTTAGAATCGCCGAGGGGGGAAATAGTGGTGGTCGCCGTCGACCGCATCTCTCGCTTCACCCGATGGAAGACTGAGATGGGCTCAGGACGAAACAAACTAGGGACAACGTGGATGTTGATCACCTGGAGGGAGCGAGAGGACCATTAAATCCAAGAGTCGCGATTCTCCTCTTCACGACCTCGAAAAGGCTACATCCTCGAGCTGTACCCGCAGCGCACGCCTATTGAAGGTGTCCACTCATCCTGCACCAGGTACGTCTCAGAAGCTGCCGAAAGTGACGTGGCCTGTAAACTGTCACTCAAGAGTGCGCATGTATCCGCACGTGCCATGTGCCTTTTGCATGCGTACACTATCATGCGCGCCCATCAAATTCCCAACACGTTGATATGTACGCTGATGAATAGTATTACTACCCCACACAGAACCAAACACGGTGCGTGCGTTCCACGTCAGAATCGAGAACTGCTTGTCTGGGGCGAGCGGCGAGCACCCTGAACCACCCCCGGAGAGTACTACAGAAATGCTGGATTCGGCACTGGAATCGGGCGGAGAAGCGGTGCTGGAATCGGAGCCGGGGTCGGGACTGGGAAAGGAAGGGGAGGAGGTGGGGGAGATGTACACAGGCACGCCATATTGAAACTGAATTGACTGCGACGGAGCACTTCAAAACTCCATGTCCTGATCCGCCGCGGGAGCGGCGGGCACCTCGGACTCGAGCAACGTCATGGTGCCACCCTTGCTGACACCCGCCTCCGCGAACTCCTCGAAGTTGGGCTCGAAGGCAAGCTGGTTCACTGCCGCTGCGAATGTTGGCTGCCTCGGCTGAAATCAAACTCCATGTGCCCGTGTCTGTCTTTAGCCTCGCGCTTCCACGAAAGCCGTCAATCCCGAGCTGGCACGCCGCGGGCCACTCTTGAGACGTCTGGAGCATCACGCGGACACGGGAGAAGAGCTTCGGGAAGGCGAGCTTCTTGTTGCGAACGGGTCGGGGAAGGTCGGCACGCACTTGAAGCTGATGCTGAACATTCGTGCGAAGATACATCCAAACGAAACCGATACGAACGGCATCCTTGTGGGACTGGTTAGCCTTCTCCTTGTTCGGGGGGTTACTGGGCTCTCTGGGCAATGGCGAAGAACTTCGGCAGTGCATTGACTAGGAGCTGCGGGTAGTTCTGCTTGAGGCTGTTGGAGTGCGAACTGCGTATACGCTCGAGGACAGGACGAGGAAAGTGACCGATGAACTTTGAGCACGGGTCGCCACCAGCGTCACCTTCTCCCCTTCGACGCTTGGTGCCGGATCCGTTAACCGTTGGCGAGATGAGAGGCTCAGGAAGAGGCAGGAGCAGTTGAAGACACTGGGGATGAGACAGGCTGCGCCTTGAGCTGCTGAGCCTCGCCGTTGTTCATGTTGGCGATGGATGGGCGTTCCGCGACTTGGGTGTTCAGCTCGCAGATGTGACACCCAGCGTTGCCAACGTGCGAAGTGAGCGTAGTGACGGTAACGTCAAGCGACTGGAACCCAGCCTCGAGCTGCGTCAAGATGGACGCTTGGCACTCGGCCACGGAGTTCTGAATGACCGCCGTCAGCTGAGATATGACTCATTCCTCCACCATGGCTGCAGCACGCGGGAGGGGAAAAAGTGCGAGGGAGGAAGGCAGCAGGTGTCCACGTAGGTTTGGCCCCAAGATCGCTCTCTCAAGAAGAGCTGCCCGCTCACGTGCCTGCCGTTGCTCGCACTTGAGCCAACATGGCGACAACGGAGAGGGGGAGGAGGAGGAGGAGGAGGAGGAGGAGGAGGAGGAGGAGGAGGAGGAAGAGAAGGAGGAGGAGGAGGAGGAGGAGGAGGAAGAGGAGGAGGGAGGAGGGGGAGAATGTGGAAGGAGAAGGAGAAGGAGTAGGCATGGGGAGGGGGAGCCAAGAGGAGGCAGGAGGAGGAGCAGGCAGGAGGAGGAGGAGGAGGCAGGAGGAGGCAGGAAGGGGCGGCAGGAGAGCCCCAGGCAAGCTGAAAAGAACCTCATGTGGGGTTCCACCGTCCGAGTGGTTGGATTCCTAGGGGGAGGGGGGGAGAATAAGACCGATTACAACCACTTCGGACTGTTCAGAAACTACTTCGGTCAGATAACAGCCACTGGAAACAACATACTGATCGCAATGCGAAGGATTCCTATACAAGTCTGTGTGGAGAACACAGGATTGCAACCGATCCAAGAGATTCTGCAGAGCTTCTGCTGAGCTTCTGCAGAGCTTCTGCAGAGCTTCTGCAGCATTCCCTGGGCGGCCCTCCCAGGAATCTGGGAATTGGTACGATCCTTAGGGATTCTTAAGATTCCCGAAGAGCCTCTCAGGATTCTGGCGAACTCCTCGGACGAATCACGTTGGAATCGTATACGAAACACATCGGGATCGTATACAAATCACATAGGAATCGTATACAAATCGCAATGGAGTCGTAAACGAATCACATAAGAATCGTATACGGACCATGGCCACGTTCGAGCTCAAGTACATGTTGTTAGCTGGGATCACGATCGGCCGTCGGTGACTGGACAGATCGCAACCGCTTTTTCAGATTCCCATTGGACGGCTTAAGGGGGTTCAGTGCACCCAGAAACGCTCTTATGATCTCTCCCTTCATCGAAACCATATTGAAGCGACCCAAACACATCGCAACCACTTCGGACAGATCGCAACTGGTTGTGATCAGTCCGAATTGGTCGACGGTCTCCATCGCGAGGGGGGGGGGCGGCAGACACAGAAAACCGCCCTCACCCCCAGCCAGGACCCAGTCGGGAGTGGGGGGGTGGTGGTGGGGGGAGGGCTCTGCTGTCCGCACTCGCACAGTGGTCTCACATCGTGGCACCCTTGCAACCCCAGACGTGGGGCAAGCGCTGCGGCCGCAGAGGTGCGAGCCGGGGACAAGCGCGCGCCCGCCCAGGAAGAGCGCGGAGCGCGGCGGTTAACCCGAGCGGGGGGCGCGGTGCGCAGAGGGGACGGCCCTCGGCACAGAGACCGAGGGGCCGTGGGGCACCGAGGGGTACGTCGCGGGCCACGACGACGACGACGACGACGACGACGACGACGAGACGACGACGACGACGACGACGACGACGACGACGACGACGAGAACGTCGAACGACGTCGACGACGTTGACGACGACGACGACGACGACGACGACGACGACGTCGAACGACGTCGACGATGTGTCTAGAGTCCACCTTGATGAACCAGGTCGGGCAGGCCTTGTACATCAGGGGCGTGTCGGAGCGCCAGCACATGGGGTCCGCTGCCCCCCCCGTGCGGGGACCGGGGCGCGGCGCTTGCACGGGCTTCAGCGCCACAGCATCGTGGCATACAAGGTGACAGTTGAGCAATTGAATACTGGCCCTCGCTCGTCCATCTCAGCAATTCCGCAAGCTAAGTCGTGGGGAAAGCGCCCGACCCCATCAGGTCCCAACCAGGTGGCATCTTTTGTTGTCTCCCAGAACAATACCCGTTCTGTCTCTTCGCGCCCTGGGAAGCGCAGGAATACCATGGGTACGGCCACGACCCCTCGTACGCATGAACCGCGCCTCATTGGGGCCGCTCTTCGGGCTTCTCGGGCGCCTCTTCCAGCCTCTCGGGGCCGCTGAGGCCATCTCGGGGCCTGCTGAGCTGTTCTGGGGCCGTCCGGGGCTGTGCGAACTCGATACTGAAGGGCTGTGAAGCCGCCTGGGAAGCCTCTTGGGGCGCCCGTGGGGGGCCCCTTGGCGGCTTCGTGGAGCTGGGCCACCTCGGAGCGTCCTGGGGCCCCGGGGCAGCCCTCGGAGGCTGCTCCGGCACTCTCGGGGCGCCCTCTTCCGCTGACTGCAGGTCCTCTTCGGCCGTCTTGCGGCCCCGAGAGCCTCCACCCGCCTCCTCTGACGAAGTGGTGCAACGGACTGCCCAGACCGTCCAACCAGCCAGCCACCCACCCCGCCAACAGACGACCCAGCCACGCAGTCGGCGAGCGAGCCCGCACACCAGCCGATGGGCCAGCCAGTCATCCAATCTGCGAGCTAGCGAGCAAACCAGTCAACCAACCACCCATCCGATTCAGAAGAGGGGCTGGCGGCACGCGACAAAGCCCTTCAGATAATTGTGCACCTCGACGCCACTCCAAACCAAATTGCCCTGATCCTTCAACTTTTTCTTGATGCCGTTGTCTGCCTCTTTAATGTGCTGGCCCTTGAAGTCGGACACTGGATCCATGAATTTTCCAGACTCGTCGATAGGGTCCACCATGCCAGTGCCATCCCTCTGGATGATGCCAGTGTGCTTGCACACACGGTTATCGTCCTCTCCAAAAGCTGGAGCCTGGTGGACAATCATCGTGCCCGCGCCAGTGCCAACGTAAGTGTCCGAGACAACGTGCCACGCCTTCTCCGAAACTTTGCCCTCGAAATACGGGAACAGGGGGTGATAGGGAATGCCGACTACCTGAGATCCCTCAACCTCCTCCTGGAGCTCGAAATCTTTTTTGGGGTCCTTCTTGATGTTCTTACAGACCCAATCCCACCGATCTTTGCCAACGATCCACTCCTCACCATCCGCCTTGCTCTTCACACGCAAGTACGTGAGTGTCGGATGCACGCACAGAGCGAGATTGGAGGGAAGGGTCCATGGCGTGGTTGTCCATGCGAGGATCCACGAGTTGTCCTTGTCCTTCCGCTTAAACTTCACAATGACAGACGGGTCGCGTACTTCCTGGTAGTTCTGGTTGGCTTCGAAATTCGAAAGTGGGGTGGCCAGGGCTGTGCTGTATGCGATGACCCTGTATGCTCGATAAACCATGCCCTTATCAAACAACTCCTTGAATATCCACCACAGGCTTTCCATATAGGAAGGCTGCATCGTCTTGTAGTCCGCCGAACGCCACATGCTAAGAGCGTTGACATTCGCATGAGGCTCCTTGGACTGGCAGGCTCCAGACATTATTTCAAACCAAGGGTCATTTCAAACCAGGGGAAACAAACTGCGCCAAGGGAGTGCTCCGCCACTCTCCCCCCGGCGGTAGGCCACCACACAGCAGTCGCCCTGAGCGCAGACACCAACTCTCTAGAACCCCCCAGGTGTCAATGCCGAACGAAGGCGTGGGCGAGTCGGAGGAATGATGCGTATTCGAGCTGGGTTGCGCGCTGATAGTCGTAGCACCCTGGGTAACAGCCGAAGTATGGGCACGCGAATGTTTGGCAACAAAGCGCCCTGCGTCTCTACTCGCGCATCACGGGCACGGCGGGACGGCGTTAGCCTCTCCAATCGTTGTCGAAGTCGATCCAACGCCCATAGCGGGTGACTATCGTGCGCCACTCGTTCACGTACATCTGCACGATAGATCTGCACTCCTCGTTGTACTTGCCGATGCCCATCTCGAGGACGTCAGCACGCCCCTTGATGTTCAGTTTGGCGTCGATGATGCCCTCGACGGGCACGCCATGGCAATCCCAGCCGAAGCGCCGCTCCACGTGGTAGCCGCGCTGATGGGCGTGGCGAGTCATCACGTCCTCGCAGCTGCTCGTTTGAGTGTTCTTTACTCCGTCGCTGAATCACAATTATCTTGAATGCCAAACTAAGGAATCATGTTTCTGAACTGTGCGGCCGACTACGTGGACTGGGACAAATATCGGAGGCTGGAATGTGAGACCGAAGCGAAACGTTGTTTCATGATACACAGAGGCGGAGCCCAAAGAAAAACCGCTCTTAAATGAAATTTTCGCGGCGCGAGCACAGAGAAACAAGCCGGCCGTAAGTAACTCCTAGGCACGTCAGCGCGCAACGAATCTGTAACGAAATTCGGCCCGTAAAAGCAAGGGAAAGCAGACGAGGAGGACGAGGAGGAGGAGCGAGGAGGAGGAGGAGGAGGACGACGAGGAGGAGGCGGAGGAGGAGGAGGAGCGAGGAGGAGGACGAGGCGAAACGCGGGTTGCCCCAACCGGGAAGCCGATCTCAATTTCGATTCATGCCGTGGCGCGCGTGCCGGCGAAGCGAGGCGAAGCTGCGCAACCCCGTCCCTTTCAGTAGAAGCCAAGTCCGACGAACATGAGTCGCCCCCGCGGCGGCCACGGCGCGGGGAATGTCCCGATATTGTCTTGGTGGTTGCCACGATGGTTGTCTCAATACTTGTCTTGATGGGTGCCCCGACGGTTGTTCCGTTCGTTGTCCCGATGGTTCGTCCCCATGGTTGTCCCGATGGTTGTCCTGGTGGTCATCCCGATGGTTCTGCGAGGCCACTAAACCAAAAAACATGCGCTCTGCGATGCCGTAATGTCCGAAACACACGTTCTAAGATGCCATCATACCAAACAGTGCGCCCTGCGAAATCATGATACCGACAATGCGCTCTGCGAGGCCAAAATACCACAACACGATGCGCTCTGCGAGGCCATGATATTGAAAAAAGGGCCCTGCTGTGCAAAAGAACACTTTGCACAAAACAGAACGCCCTGCTGGCCAGAACCGAAAGGATATACAATCAAAGAAACAAACAAACAATCACACGCAGACACGCAGACAACACACACAATATATAGAACCAACACCGAGAAAAAATGCAAACGCAACAGGCATCGAACACCAACGTCAGAACAACCACACCGATGAAACAAAACAATGAAAAACAATGACATAGAAATTAATATATTGTACAGTGCTGGGGAATCAACACCTTCACAAGTATGGCCATATAGACGGTGAAACCGATTGATGGTGGGATCGGTAGATAGTGAGACTGGTTGGAGATGATATATCGTTTTCCCGTTCGTTGTCCCGATGGTTACACCGAGGCGCTGTTATCAAAAACATGCGCTCAGCGAAGCCATCTATCAGAACAAGCGCTCTGGATAGACAGTGAGACCGAAAGATTGCCAAACCGACTGACGCATGACAAGCATAATCCCGTTAAGCACCATGAGCCGACTCAAGTCCTAGCAACACACGGTTTTACAACATCGAGCAGCATTGTCTAGCAGCTCCGATTAAACACATGGTGTCCTGGAAGACAATGGCACTTTTTCGATGAGATACATAGTTATTTTGGCATACGCATACAAATGTATATATACTAGAACCATCGCGCGCGCTTCGCGCGCGCTCAAATTCTAGCTAGGCTTGATAGGATAACTCATGTAATATCATGTTGGTCGTTTCTTGCTTCCAGGGACTCCCTTGGAGGCCCTGCGCAAGCCTCGGAATCGTATAGAAGGGGAAAGGCGGAAACGCAGAAACCATGAATTTCTTATAGGTGTTCAACAATTTGGGGCCCTCAAAAACTTTCTGGGTTCTTTTTGGGGAGGTGAGGGGGGTCTGAATTGTGGTCTGCTGTGCAAGAGTAGACCGGGGGCCAAACTTGGAACAGAAAAAATAATTGTGGGATTTCCATTTGTTTCCAGTTCCTCGGCGCTATTCGGCGCTGTGTCTTGTTTGTGCCTCGCGGGTTCTGTTAGCCGGGCCCCTCAGGGGTGTGGAATCTTCCGGACCCCCTGGGGGTTCTGGAGGCCTCCTGGAGGCCTGGAGAGCCGTCGGAAGGGTGTCTCGGGCTGCGCGGGAGCGTGTTGGGCCGTTCTTTGCGTTCTGGGGGCTCCTTGGGGTCGTCATGGGCTGTCCTTCGGCGTCTTGGGGTCTCCCCCCGGGAAGCCGGGAGGCGCGGTACCGGCCAGATGTCAGGGGATGTATAGGACCCCCGAGAAGGAGTCCCACATTGAAAAAAGGGACTTCTGGGAATTCCCATTTTTGTTCAAGATCCTCGATCCTCGAAGGTTGGAAGCGGGAAAACGTGACAAGGCGAAAAACATTGGAAAAACCATGGGAAATCATCGATGTTACCCTCCTTCGGCTCTCTCGGGACAGCTCTCGCAGCTCTCTTGGGCTGTTCTTGGAGCCTCGTCGGGGTCTTTTTGGTGCCTCTCAAGGATCGGGGGTGTGTTGGGGGCCTCTGGGTGGTCCCTGAGGCCTCTCGGAGGTCTCTGGAAGCCTCCTGCTCCTGCTCTTGGGCCCATCTTGGGGCCTGTTCTGCGGTGGTCTGGGGCTGTCCTGGGCGCCTCTTCGGCAGTCTTGGAGCCTCTTGGCCCGTCTTGGGGCCGTCCTGAGGGTCTCTTGGGTGGTCTTGGGGCGGTCTTGGGAGCCTCTTCGGCGCTGTTGGACCGTTGGAAGCTCGAAAACGCGAGAAGCCAAAAACATTCGAAACAAAATAATGAAAATCTACGATTTGGGCCTCTTCGGGCCCTCCCGGGACGCCTCTCGGACCTCTCTTGGGGTCTCTTGGAGATTACCTGGCAGCCTCGAGAGCCGTCGGAAGGCTGACTTGGGCTGCTTGGGAGTGTCTTGGACCATCCTTTCGCGTTCTGGGGGCTCCTGGGAGGCGGAGCGCTATGGAGGCTCCCCGGAACGCCCAGGGGAGCGGTACCGGGAGCGTTCCCGAGATGTCACGGGGAGGTGTGGCACGAGGGGCCGGGGGGGGGGGGCGGTATATATTTGTATTATATTCACACACACACACACCAATCGATATCTATATATATATATATATATACAAGATTGCAGTGGCGCTTCGCGCCATGCACCTTGGTCCTTGAAGTTTGGTATGCAGGCGGAAATGGCAGGAAGGTCAAGCCGACAATTTAGCGATAACTCCTTGCTGGCTTTTCTGGCATCGCCGTTGCAATAATGTTGTTCGTTATCCTTCCTCCAAGTTTGTCTTTCCTCATTCTCGCCATACCCTGGGCATTATCCCCATCCTCTTCAGCTCTTTTTGCGGAGGCTCCTCCTTGAAGAGCCTCTCGGGGCCTCACCAAAGTCCTCGGGCTTTCTGAAAGCCTTCTGGAAGCCTCCTGGGCGTGTTCTGGGGGCCTCTGGGGCTTCCTAAGGCCAACCTGCCTCTAACCGCGGTCTCCCTGAACGCCCCAGTCACGATTTGGAATGCTTCGGAGGGTGTCTTGGGACCATCTTGGGCCGCCATGGGGCTCTCTTAGGGCCATCTTGGACCCGTGTTGTGCCGTTTTGGGGGTCTCTTGGATTGCCTGGAAGCCCTTTCGGATGGTTGCGGGGCGATTTGGGAGCCTCCCAGGCGGCTTCGGACGCCCAGGAGACCGCCGTCTTGGAGCGTCGGGAAGCCGAAAAGAGGAGAACCCCAAATGCACAAAACACCTGCGTAAAATCAATTATGTTTCCCTCTTGGGGCCTTCTTGGGGGTGCTCTTGGAGGCCTCTTGGTACGTTTTCGAGCGATCTTTCGGGGTATGACGGCTTCTTGGAGCGCTCTTGTGCTGTCTTGGGGGTCTCTGGGACGTCTCCGGTGACCCCCCTGATCGCCCTGGGTGTGCTGCGAAGGCTTGGCAAAGCGCCCTGCGAGGCCGCGGAGGGCTGCTTCGAGGCCCGTCCGGAGGGTCCCAAAGCCCCAGATCCCAGGGACCCGGTTTTAGGGGGGGGGGGGGGGACGGGTTTTCCCCCCGCCTGGGCTTATAAAAATATAGGAAGGGGAATACATGAGCATAACGACAAGTACATCCGCCACCGCGCCAACAGCGGTTGGAGTGTTGCGGGCCTGTCCTTCTTCATATGCTGCAGTTTGCGAAACAATATCCTGTCCACCCCCCCGCGCATCGAACCCCACGCGTACCGATTTTAAAGACACATGCCTGCGGTTTTGGCCCTCGCACCAGAACACGGGTCCTAATACGGAAATCAAGAGGCGCACTGGCCCATGGAACCCTGCCCCTCTCTCGGGCGCCTGCCCACTCCATCCCCTCTTCTTCATCGTTTTCCCACTGCGGCGTGCCTTGCTCCCCAGTCTCACGTCCCAGCCCTGGCCCACGTCTCCTTCAAAATGGACGCCACGCGGCTCCATGAACGCCCACGAGGGCAACAAGACGCCGCCCAGAACGCATACGAAAGGCTCCCGAAAGGCAGATGCAGATGTGTGTTTTCCACCATTGGTATGTTCTCGCCTTGTTCGGGTTCACAGCGACCACGACGACCCAGTCAGTCCCTCAACAATTCGAAGACGGCACAGTAGGCCCCCGCGACACTCCCAAGAAGCCCCCAAGAGGACCGAAAGAGGCTCCCGAAAAGCTCCAAGAGGCCCCCAAGAAACCCCCGAGACGCCTACAAGAAGCTCCACGAGGCCTCCCACGAAGCCCTAGAAAGCCCGAAGAAATCCCCAAGAGGCCCCACGAGGCGCCGCGACGCCCCACCGAGAAGCCCCCAAGTAAGCCCCAATAAGCCCCAAGAGACCCCAAGGAGCCCCAGAATAGGCCTCGAAGAGGCCTTCGAGAGGCCCCGTGAGGGCATCGACACACGCAGCAAGCAACGTCGACAAAGGCCGCGTTTCATGCCCGTGTCTGTTCCCTACCCACCTTTTTCGGCACAGACCGCTTTTCATGTTGACGCCCCTTCCGTGTACACATTCAACGCGCGTTCTGAAGAGGCCACAATTATGTAGCGCAACATGTAGAGCGCAATGTGTGTAATTTCACCAGGGTGGTGCAGTCGGTGCGTCGCGCAATTCAGCTCATGCCTTGCCGCACTGCAGCCTCGCCAGACTGTTCTCGCAAGCGCAGTGGCGGATATGCGCAGCAGCGCACCTGAATATCGTGATTTGAGTTGCGCATCCAATGCGCATCAAAGATGGCGCACATCCCCCCACAGCTTCCGTATCACCCCAAAGGGTGGTCTTACGAATGGGAAACGCAAAGTGTGAACGGGCTTGGTGCAACAACCACTCTCTAGCCAGCAAGACGCATGTCACGACATTACATGCATAACAATCACCACAATCTGGGTCGTGCTCAGCAGCAAAGAATTTAGAGCACCGTGCGAAGTAGTACATGTTACAACTCTGCTTGCTACAATGATCTGCTC